AGTACATGGTTCAAAGAATCGAAAGAAAATTTTCTAATTATGATTGTTGCTGGTTTTTCTTATAATGGCAAGTTAAAAATAAAGAGAGTGCAAAAAAATGTCAAGATTAACTCCAAATACTATCAGGAACATATTTTATCGCCATGAATGAAATACCATCGTTTTACCCACAGTGCCATCAATCTGTGAGACTCCATCAGGACAAAGCTAGCAGTCACAAATCAAAATCCACTGTAAATTTCCTAAAAGAAATGAAACAACTGGTATCAAGGCCATACCCTTCACTGATATCCCTACTAAATCTCCCGATGTGTCATCTATGGAGTTTTGTGCTTTTGGACTTTTAAACTGCATTATCCAAACGTTGTCCCAAAACCCTAACAGGACTCTGGAAAGCTGTTCGGGAGGAATGGGATAGAATACCTCTTCTGCCACTTCAAAAGGCATTATTAGTTAAAGATAGTTCAGAATAAGGGATGTCAAATAGAACATTTAAAACACAAGAATTTTATGTAATTTAGTTTTGTGAATACAATATACATCGTCTAAAAAATGTGTGAACAGCCTCTGTACTTTATGGAGAATAAGCCTTTGATACGTGGGTTGGTTGGGTTCTTTCCTCAAAAGTCTCCACATCCATTCAAGGGTTTGTTTTCCAAGGTGTGTGTGTGTGTGGTGGTGGTGTATTTAATTATGGCAAAGCACACGAGGGCTATCTGCCTAAAGGGAGGGATGCCTTTCGTGGAGGACTTTCTAAGGGAAACTGGCTCGTATACACGTTACACATGGGGAAAACCACGAAAACGCCCATGCAGCCAGCCCGTTCGCGGGATTCGAACCTCAGACCGAACTACCAGTGTTCAGCGTCTTTACCGCTCGGCCGCTGGTGGGCTGCTAAGAGAGGAAAACCATACACAGACATAAAAAGGAAAGTCGAGAAAGTCTTTTCCAAGGAAAGACGGGCAAGCATTTAGAAGCGAGGATCGACTTTTGATGTAATTTTATTATTAAAAATAAAACTTTTGAGATCTAATTTCTGCAGAAACTGTTGTTTAGTTACATCAAGAACTGCCAGAGTCTTCATATTTAGGGCTCTGGTGCGCTCCGACTAGAATTATTATTTAACCCAAAAACTAAAGAAGTACCGGCGCAATTTAAGCTGTAATAATTAATCTGTATATAATTCAGCTTCATAAGCAGAAATAACTCTTAAGAATGAATTCTTAAATGGAAATTATGAAACTTATAATAAAAGAGCTGCAGAAACCAATGTTTATATGAAATTATGAAAGAAACAACTTTGAAAGCTTTAGCCTGCTTCTCCTCGAAAAAAAAAAGAAAGTCCTATTGCTTATTGAAATAGTTAACCAAAACTTTTTTTTGGCTGATGTTTGCTTTTATGATTGTTTTGGTAACTGGCCCGCACATCTAATATAAGGCAAGATAATTTGAAATATTTTTTCTTCTATTTTATTTTTGCTGATAAAGTTATCGCTTTTAAATTTTAACATCTTTAGTGAGTGATTAAGATGTTTTTCAGACACATCAGATTTTTACATTAATGAGACACATTCTGATGATCTCAGAGATAGCATGATTAATATACTAAACAAGGAAGGTTATACTTCCGCTTCTTCTCATGCGAAATTTATCTCATTGGTTAAAATTTTTAAATCGGTGTTGCATGCCAATGTATACACCATGGCAAATGTATACATGCCGAATGTATACCTCGTATGCAAATGCATACCATCGATGACATTTTGTTACATCTACAAAAATGGAAATGCAAAAATCAAAATATAGACTTTTTTCTGACCAAAATGAGTAAATATATCAACAAATTGGGAATAATTTTTAAGTAAAAGATGGTAGTATTGTTTAAAAGTCCTCCAAGAAATCATCCTTTTCCTTAAACAAGTTAGCCCTCATATACTTTGCCATAATATAAACAATTCAATCTAATACATCTTATTTTCAGTAGAAAAGAATTTTATTAGAAACAAGATATAAGCAAAAATTCTAATACAAAATGCAATATTTATTTTTATTTACTGGAACAGATTTAACCGTGCTGGTAAGAAAAATCAAACAAAAGAGGAATGAAATATTCCTGCCAAAAAAACGTTTAGACCATTTCTTGTGTTACAGCTCAATAAATGCACTTCAGAATGCGTTTTAGCTGAAACGTATATCCAGCAAATGAGACTTCAATAAAGCTATTGTTTAGTCTGTCTTGGAGCAGACGATTATAGCTTAGAGCGTTTATGGGTACACTGAAAGTTAATTGTCTCAAGTTTTCAAGTGCTGCATATCATTTTTTTAAACTGCGTATTCTGTTTAAACAATATGCAAAGGGTGGGACGTACTTTGAACAAACATTTCAATGACTGAAAAAAAAAGTTGTGACTTACCAACTATACAAAAATGGCATCCGTCTTCATAATTCTAAAGCTAATGAGCTTAACCGAATCTAATTCTATATAAAGTGAATCGGTAGTAATCTGTTTCAGTTGATACATAATGAAGTTTAAAAAGGAAGCTATTAGAAATTTCACACGCAAAATGTAATCCAGAATCTAATATCTAGTATTCAGTTCCTGAAATATAAATCAAAAGAACTTTCTTTCACTGTTTCTATTTCCGTTGGAGAGGCAGTATTTTATTTAAGCCAAATGCAATTTCTACAGTTTCTTGTGTTGCCACTCCGTGGTAGAGAAAACTGCCTATTCAGAGAAGAAAACTGCAATTAAATAACTCATTAAAAAATCTGAAAGGTTTCAGTTCTTAAATTACGTCCAAAATAATGTTTTTTTAACGTTTTGTGTGTTACCTTTTATTTCTTAAATATCATGTTCTACGTACTCAAACATGAAGTTCAGTTTAACACCAATAACGCAAAATAATTTTAAAATGAGCATGTCTTTAGAATTTCCGATACAGAGTCTCGCTCACAGAAGATAAAAATAATTCTTTCTTCGCACATTGTTGCCATTGCTCGCTTTGAAATCGTTTAGTTTTTCAATCAAAAATTCTTTGAAGGGTTACAAAATATGAAATCAATAATAAAACAAATTTCAAATTCAAATTAGGGCTGCCACATGCGCATATTCTATGGAAGATTACGTTATTCAAATTTTGATGGCTCTAGGTATCATTCTTTTATCACAATGCGAGAAACATACATACATTCATGCAAATCCTTCATTATTTAATTTCTTTAAATATAATACAGGGCGATAATATTTGGTGGCAAGAATTTGAAAGTGATTCGCCGTTTATAGTTTTCAACGCAAAATGCCAAAACGAAATTAATAGTGCTTCAGGAAAAATTGCCCCTTTGGACTAATAAGTCTCATTTCTCTCCGACTATGAATATTAATATGGATGACGTGTCAGACAAAGAAAGTACCCAGCTGACTTCAAGCTCTGTCTAGACCTGAATTGCAAGTGTAATGCTACCCAATGCCCATCCCCATAAGTGGCTGCACAACCTAACTGCTTTTTAAATACGTTGTATTTAAATGTAAATGTCGCGTCGGATGTACTGAACAGTCAAAGGACAATATCTTAGAATATGTATGCAAAAGCATATGTACAGTACAGTCTGCGCATACCGCAGTGACATAGCAAGATGCTCCTATGAACAGTAGAAATGTATACTTACATGCCCCGGCATGTCAGACATCCTAACCTCATTTGCATAACTGCCAGAGCAATTATATTGCTTAATATGTATCAAAAATCTAATGTCACGTTGGACATAATAAAAACATTGCTGAATCCGAAAGCTGCACAAACTGTAAATGTAATACCACGTAACGCAAATGTAACGTCATTTCTGAATAGTAATGTAAAGTTGTATCGAATTACGTAACATAATATAGAAAATACTTACAGTACCGCATTATATGCAAACACTGTCATAAATAAGTATCTACAGGGTTTGGACAAAAATCTCACAGGTACAGCAGGACCTCTGTCTGTCTTGAGCACCTATAATGTCTATATATCAGGTCTGCCTGTACGCCATCCTGAAGCTCAATCACATAAAAGCAAGAGCAAATATAGTGTTATAAATATGTTCTATATGCAATGTTGCTCCTGACAATGTATTTACAGAGTTGAATCTGCATAATTTAATTCGTAAATGTAATGTCAATAATGGTAATGTAAATACCACTATTATCTCATACCTCATATATAATGTCAATGCCGTATCGCATAGTGTCTATATAAGACATGAAATGTCATAATTATGTAAATATGTATATGCACAGCACTATTTATACGTGCACTGAAGTAATTTAGTTGCAACCGCCTTCTGCACACATGTAGTGCATATGTACTAGCCCTGCATGAAAGCTCTCCCAAGTTCATTTGCGTAATTACAGGAATAATTATTATGTTCTATACGTACCTATATGCAATCTCTAGCCAACTTTAGATAAGGGTGGACGTGGTGCTGTACTGATTAATCTTTACGGCAAAGGGACAGTGCCCACGTCCACAGTCACTTATCACTTCTCTCCGACTATTCTCCAAAACTATCTCCTTGCCTCTGTGATATTTTATTTTGGTATCGATCATAAATTAGAAAACAAAAATGTAGCAGAACTCCAAATATCTGGATTAGCTAACACCAAACCTCTTCCAGATATTCAAAATTCGATAATTAGGTTTTCTTTTTCCTGTAGTCCAAATATATATTTACTGCACTATAAGTGACAGAACTTTTATTTTTATTTATTTATTTATTTATTTTTTGGTCACATTATATTTCAACAAAGATTATAAAGTAAATCAAAATCGAAAGTACAGATTTAACTAATATCCTCTTTCATCGCGTCCTGAAATTGCAAAATCATGAACGGCTACTTAAGGAGAATATTATGTTTGAAAAATGCAGGAATATTTTTTTTCAGGTTTAAATTAATTTTATTCAATATGTATTATATGCAGAAACAAGTGACTTACAGATTTCTTTCTCTTTTTTTCAGATTTTAGAACTGTCCAAATGACATGCCCTTTCGTGTGTCCTGGAAAAACAGAATTTTATGGATTGTTGTAGGCACTTCACTTCTCACTTTAGCACTTTTGCACCACTTGCAACCAACAGCGAAACCCATTTTCATTACAAACAATGAATTCTTTTCGTATGACTTAGATAGAGAGGAACCTTTAACACCTGGTCAAAAATGTCAGCTCCCAAGAGTTCATCCTTTCGATCCATCTACTTGGAATTACCTTTCACCTCCGAAAACCATCAAGTGCAAAGAACGGATTGCAACACTTACTTTCCTAGATGACACAGGTGTCCTGCGATATAATCTTACAACACTTAAAATGTACGGATATGAAGCTGATAAATTACTTTGTGGATATCAAGAAATAACTCGCAAAGGTGATTTTAAAGTGGATTATAGTAAAAGACGTAAACTTTTAGTAAATGGATCTAAGATTTATTCAGATTTTGTGTATGTGTCATGTGCAAATTTCGCTGGTATCGCATTTTATACAAATATTCACTGTCATATCTTGGTGCAACCGGAACATAGTAGTTTTTCATCAGTGACAAACGATAGTGAAAAATTTTATAACGTCTTAATTCTTGGCATTGATTCTTTGTCAAGATTAAGCTTCATGCGTCAACTGCCAAAAACTTACCAATTTCTAACGAAGAAGTTGAATGCTTTTATACTTAGGGGAATGACAAAAGTAGGTGACAATACTTTTCCAAACTTAATAGCTATGTTGACAGGAAAGTCAGTTTCAAATCAGGAACTGCCTCATATTCGTGATCCAAAGGAACCATATGATAGGTGGCCATTTGTTTGGAAAAACTTCTCCACAGCTGGTTATGCAACTCTCTTCGCGGAGGACAGACCAGATATAAATCTGCTGAACTATTACAGAGGTGGCTTACAGAAATCCCCAACTGATCATTACATGCGACCATTTTGGCTTGCAGTCCAGTCATCCATGCTTCATCGAATTAGCTCCAACTTTTGCTTCGGTAACATTCCAAAACATTTGTTGCAACTACGTTACACGCAAGACTTCGTCAAAAAATACAGTTCCGTTAAAAGACCCTTTTTCGCATTTTCATTTCTTGTAGAACTGAGTCACGATTACATCAGCCATGTTTCATCCGCTGATGCGGATTTAGAAGCATGGCTGAAACATCTTTTTCATTCTGGATACTTAAACAGGACGTTCTTATTCTTTTTATCAGATCATGGTCATCGGTTTGATGCTCTGAGAGCCACTCTTATAGGCAGAATTGAAGAAAGAATGCCTTTCTTTGCAGTAGTTGTACCTCATTTGCCGTCTAAACATCAAAATGATTTCATCCGAAATTTACGAACAAATCAAGGACGTCTGACAACACCTTACGACGTTTACTTTTCACTTTTGGATATATTGAGTCTCAGCATTAATCACACAGTTCTTGGGTCCATAAAATCTGACAGAGGAAGTACTTTATTTGGCCCTATTTCGTCAAACAGGACATGTAGCACAGCTGGAATACCTGACCACTACTGTACCTGTGAGACTGAGGAAAATTTGGATATATCAGGTAATAACTCATTCACTTATAAAATATATTTTGTGTAAAATAATTAATAAGTAGAATATACAAAATAACGTTTATTTAATATACAGATAATGCCAGAATAACTTTTATTTAATATACAGATTCCTATATTTTATAAAAGCTAATCCCAAACAATCAGCAGAAATGGATATCGTGTACTAACTTGAACATAAAAGTTGTGAGGTTTATGTTTATCTACTATTTATTTTTAACTATTAGTTCATTTTAAGTTAGCACTTTCGTATTTCTCTGTCACCCACGCTTTTCATGCCAGAATATAAATCGAGAGTTTATTCAGATTAAGATAGAATGAAGTGCTATTTAAGCAAGAGTTTTAGAAGTTGCAGAGCGTGTCTGCCTATTCCAGGCCACGATGTGCTGTGGTTATTAGCGACTTGAATTAGCGGCGTTCAGCGTTCTAGCCATTAGGCTTTGTCTTGCCGGTTACTACAAACCAGAGCTCTTCCAGCCCGTTAAAGTATTCTGTGAGTCGTTAAGCTAATCTGCCACACCTTGAAATTATTCATTGTTACGTTATTCTGTTAAGCCAGAAGTGACTGGCTTATTGTAACCCAAGCTGGGTCAAAGGCTACATTTGTGTGTTTCGAAAGAGACATAGACTTTACAAAGTCAACCCAAGATCGTGCAGAGTCTCACCCACCTTGGGAAGCAAACACTAAGTCGAGACTCTATACCAGTCAGCAACCCATGATCCGCGGGTCACTTAGTGACCCACTGGAAAAATTTTAATGACCCAGTATACAATTTTTAATGACGACGATTGATAGGTAATCTTGCCAACGAATTAAAGTGGGTGCTTTCGATTTAATGACACAGCCGCCGGCAGTCAGCTGTTGACAGCTGCACTCATTGGAGACGAGCTGAACAAATGAAAAGCAATATGTAAAGTTTGACCTTGGAAAGAGATCTCGTTGGACTTAATGATGTGATGTCATGAAAACACGAGCAGTGAAATCTGCTTTTAGCTTTTCCATTTCATTTATCAACTTGGCGATCGCCGGCTGTTGCGTTCGATAGTCGGGTATTTCCATGCCCAAATCGAAAGCACCCAGTGTGTTTGTACTGTGAAGTGTAGCAAAATGTGATGAAATTCTATTATAACGCAGCGTGTACATGTATAAAAAGATGGCAAGTTTAATATAGTTTTCATTTTTTTTCTCTTTACTTACATTTATTGCTGAAATACTTGTGGGGTTCCAATCTTTTAGCCAACAGCTACCTCGTGTAGGAACCTCGTGAATAATTGCTTTAGTTCAGTAACAGAAACGTAAAAACTCAAGAAGGGTTAATTACCCTTTATTTTTCAAAATAAGAACTTACAATCGGCTCCTTCTCAAAGCGTACAGCAAAGCCTTCACTTGGGCTTGAACTCAAAGTAGAAGAAATATAACTTAACTAATGCATAACTAAAAAGATACAGCCGAAGTTATCAAGATTTCTGAGTAGTTGATCTTTAATTATCGAATAAGCTGGCGAAGGGCCTGAAATACGGAGCGCAATAGCTTAGAGAGAGACGTAGCCAAAAGGGGACGCGCGCTAGTCAGAAAATCTGGCTCTCTAACGAAGTCAGTGGAACTTCGACGTAAATACCACTCTTACTCATTTGCATTAAACGCAATTCTAAAAACACATTCTGGTAGGAAATTGTAAGCTGAAATTAGGAGGGACAGGAAAGTAGCTTTAACTAACGATAATTGTTGAAAACTTAGGATAAACTTTACATACTTTTTTATATTATACATTATATTGATATGCGTATATTTTTTCAAAAAGTGTCGATGTTTTTCATTATGCTGTGCATTCTTTTTTATTTTTATTGTTAGATAATTTTCTTTATTTTTTATTTTTTATTTTCACCATCTTCCCCCTTTTTCTAATGCGTAATCCAAAACAGAAGTAATGTAAGCAAAACTTTTTGTAAGGGAAAAAAAATTGAAAAATGACAGTCTTGAAAAACACGTTTCCAACCTCTACTCTATATGGATCTAAGCTACTTATCGTTATATCCAGTAAGAAAATAGAGACCGTAAGAAGAATTATCGAATGCGCAAGAAGACGACCGTAAGAAGAATGATCGAATTATGAATGCCTTTTATTAATAACTCAATAATTTTTCAGAAGGCACTTCTTGCGCTTATGAAACCAGCCAGCACTTATGACGTAACTCAAACAGACAGACAGACAAAGTAGACAGATGTCTTGTTTTGCACCCGCTAAATCTTTCTGCACCGATGGGCGAAACATCAAGCATAGGTGGCGAAGGAAAGGTATATAGAAAGGGGGGCAATTTCGTATTTGAGGAGAGTAAAAAGGAACTTCGTACATTTTGTACGAGTTCGAAAGACAAGGAAGGAAAGATGGGACAAAATAAAATTTAAAATAAATGGCCCAAAAATAATAGAGGGGGGGGAAAGGGCCTATAGAAAGAAAAGGAAAAGAAGTAGAAAATATCCTAAAATACGATTGTGTCCATGAGTGTAGTTAAAGGAGGAGAAGCTGTCGTCATTTACAATAAATAGTGTCTCACAGGTGTGTATATGTAGTGAGTGTGTTTGGTAATGGTGAATAGTGAGTGTGTTTCAGAGTCGTAGCTAGGGTTTTCAGCGCCCAGGGACAACTGAAGATTTCGCGCCCCCTACTGCTTTCCAAGGATGGAAAAAATTTAATTCTAAAATGACGTAACATCAGTTTGGCGCCCCTTGGATCCTGCGCCCGGGGACAGATGCCCCTCTTGCCCCCCTCTAGCTACGCCCCTGGTGTGTTTGGTAATGGTTACTGGGAAAAAAATATTGACAGTGTTAAAGTGCTTCGTATCAAGGTATTTAGCATGGAATACAAAGTAATATGTATGCTTGCATCCTGAGACATCAACAAAAGTAACGTAACTCAAAAGCAATGAATTCAAATTAAACTAAGTTACATATAAAGTTAATCCAAAAGCTAGCGTGCAAGTTGGCTCAAACCTATGCTGACGTGACAAGCATTACTGGTAAGATTGAACCAACGTCGCCGACAGACTGCTGACGTGGGCTTTTAAGTAGTAACGTGGATTCCAGCAGGCGGAACTCGCATTGTCTATACAATCTAAAATATTCCTTTGAATGCTATCTCTTTCTACCGGATTAGAATATGTGCGAACTAAAATTAGCATTCTTGCAGGAAAACGGAAAGGGAAAAATGACAGTAAAACTATCTAACATAAAATAGCGGGATAGATAAAATAAATGAATGTTTTACAATAGCATGAAAAGGATAGTATAAATATCTGCAGATTTTAAGTCTGCTAAGTTATATACAAATAACTAAAGAGATATAGCCGAAGCTAACACAATTTCTAAACTAGTTGGCCCCTAACCAAGGGCACGTAAATGCGGTCGAGCGTAATAACAGCTTAGAGAGACGTAGTCAAAAGGCAAACGCGCGCTATTCGGGAAATCTAATTCTCTCTCTGTCGAAGTCAGTGAACTTTACTTAAATACTTTCTACTTCTCATTTGCATTGAACGCGATTCTAAAACTTCATTCTGGTAATGAATTGTAATATAAATTGGCGCGTAGCCAAATCCCTTTAATAGGGGGGGGGGAAACCCAACAAAGTAAGTGAAAAATATAAGGGAAAGTAGTTTTTAATTAATATCTCGGCTAATTAACGTCATACGAAGACATTTGATAGCCTATAACCTTTTCTAATATATCAAAAATATTTCTTGAAAATTTCATGATGATCAGTTAAGTAATTAACACGTGAAAGCGTAACAAACAAACAAACTCACATTCGCATTTATAATATTAGTAAGGATTGCATCATTAATTCTGCTGTTGACTAAGATAATATTTATAGAATAATTCCATATAAAATAAATTTTATAATTTGCATTGTTATTTGAATTATCCTCAGCGTGCAATTACATGCATCATTACTTCAACTAGTAATTAAAATAATTCTTATGAAATAATTTCAAATGAAATAATTTTTATAAAATATTTGTGCCATAATTATATATTAATTAACACATTGGTCGGCATGGGGGGGTCACCGTCACACTATGTATTTCACTATCTAAAGTGTACGTATCTATGTACGCTTGGTAATTATCACAAAGAATTTTAAAATATTATTTTAAACATTTTAATTTAAAATGGGGGGATTCCAGGGGCCTGGGACAAATGTGTCCCACTGGGTGGTAATGGTGGGTGTGTATTTTAATGTGTGTGGTGTGTGTGTGTATTTAATTATGGCAAAGCACACTAGGGCAATCTGCCTAAGGGGAGGGATGCCTTCGTGGAGGACTTTCTAAGGGAAACTGGCTCGTATACACGTTACACATGGGGAAAACCACGAAAACGCCCATGCAGCCAGCCCGTTCGCGGGATTCGAACCTCGGACCGAACTACCAGTGTTCAGCGACTTTACCGCTCGGCCGTTGGTGGGCCTGGTAATGGTGGGACATATGTGTCCCATTAGCACTAAAATGTTGACACATAAGAGAAAAAAACCAAGCAATATTTTAATTTTCATAACTTATGTGTGATCAGAGGTAAAACAGTTTTCGCATAATGGTAGATTGCATGCCACATAAATTGTTTTAGTTCTTTTCTCTTGTTTTATCTTGGTACAACTGTGACACCTTCTTCTAGTGGGCCCTCCGATGGGTAAGTGATCTTCTATATTCAACAACTTGGAACTGGATGATGGTCTACCATATTGTAGTGCAAGGATGTCAAACTCACAGCCCGCAGGCCGCATGCGGCCCACAACAAATATTTCTGTGGCCCGGCCAATATATCGGCAAATAATAATATATAATAATAAAATAACATATCGAGGAAGAAAAAAAATGAAATGTTTACTGCTAAGTAATTAACGATAATTTATTCAGTGTTGTTAGATTACTCACAGCGAGCTGACACACGCACACTACTTAAATTACAAATGCGTGTGAGTAGCTTGCGTTCAGCTACCTTCGACTTTTGGGGGTCACGTGCACTCAGAACTTGTACGCATCCCCCGATAGCCGAATGTGGCCGAACTCATGGTCTCAGTTTTCCAATCATAGTTTTGTACGATATATTGGTGCATGCATATGCATGCACTTTGCTTTATTATTAATTATTACTTAAATCATATTGTTACGGATTTCATAGTTATTTATTTATTTATTTATTTTTTATTTAGAATTGTAATTAGAAATTAAAGGTAATAAGTCTCCTATAGAAACCGTATTAATGATGCTCACCTTGGGTCAGCGTTGAAAAAGTTATCACTGCAAACAAAATTTCTCCCGAAAATAGGAAAGATAATAGCAGAAGAAGAGATGTCAAGTATCAGGACGTAAACATTAAATTTTTCTTGTTCTTTTCTATATAAATATATATATATATGTTTATTATTGTATTATTCGAAATAAATCTATGTTTCTATGAATATTGTTTTTTTTTTTTTTTTTTTTTTTTTTTTTTTTTTTTTTTGCGGCCCGCCGAAAGTTAAACCTTGTTTGTTTAGCCCAAGTGTACCTATGAGTTTTACATCTCTGTTGTAGTGTATGGTCTACCATACTGTAGTGATATTATACCATATTGTAATGTATGGTCTACATGGTCTACCATATTGTAGTGCATGGTCTACCATATTGTAGTAGTGGTCTACCATATATATAATATATATTAAGTATTGCAGTGGTAGAGTATGGTCTGTGGGGATGTTAGAAATGATGCCTACTACCAGTGGGACATCAACAACGTAGTAATTTATGCGTGTAGTTCTCTCTAGCCTTCCTTAGACATCTATTGGGACTTATATAAACCCATTGGGTTGAAAACAGAACTGTGAGTAGCAGACGATAAGTTATACTTTCAAAAATATAGTTGCAGTTTATAAAATTTGCAGACTTTTCTGGTGGCTAAGAAAATTGTCTAAAGAATGTATGAACAGTCTCTGTTGAATTATATGGCGATCAATGTGTTAAGATTATTTTTATAAAACAATTTCTAGGTAGCGATTCAATTATAAATCTTTTTCTCTTACAGATTCCAGATCTCAAAAAGCCGCTATTACTCTAGTCACTGCCATCAACAACTTAATCAGCAAGTCCTACAAAAAACTTTGTGCTGAGTTGTCATTAGCTGAAATTATTAGAGCGGACTTGATCCTTCCACGCCGAGAAGTCATTGTCAACTCGCGTCTTTATTTTGGGAATCTGGTAGAAGACGGTCGAGCCAGAGGAATGATCACCAAAGTCACAATCATCCTCAGGACTGTTCCAGGAAATGCTTTATTTGAAGGGACTTTAATGCTCAGAGAGGATGACGATAACGTTACTGTCCTTGGAGATATTAGTAGAATTAATGTGTATGGAAATCAGTCCTCTTGCATAGATGATGCTATCTTGAAGAAATACTGTTACTGTATCACATCTGAAGTTTAAGAAAGACTAATTCTTATAAATGTGTATGTAATACATACTCGAAATTTGTAAGTGACTGGAAATTGAAACGAAAATGATACGCTGTCTAGCTGCAGTCACAAAATTTTACACACAAAACTTTTCTACTGATACTTTATATTTATAACAAACATTATATCTGAATAATATTTTACAACTCGAATGTAAAAAGAAAAAAAATAATAATTTATTAAAACAAAATTGGTTTTCAATGCATGTTAAACATGAGGCATTTTTGTCATAAAATTGTGTGATTATGCTTCTGAATGTTTATTCATTTTTCATAAATTCGCACGTATAAGCATAATGAATATGTATAGCACTAAGTACGTATAGACGCCAAGAATGGGTCATTGCAAACTGAGAAACCTTTTTTTCCTAAACAAATATCCCCATTAATGCAAATGCTTTTATTTAGCAACCGCTCTGTTGTTTGTAATTCCCGAAGTGATTTTCACTATTTGTTACTTTTTACTTTACCTGTTACCTTTTTCCCATTACTTTTTACTATTCTCTTCAAGCTCCGGGCAGATTATCATGTTTTGAAACACAGCTTCTTAAACCTTTTTCAGTCGCGACCCTTTTTTAACCACCGAGATTTTTTTTGTGACTCCAGAACCCCATAATATTTACAAAAATTTTGTGGATCTCCATAAGCATTGCACAAATCCGACACACGCGTGAGTGAAACTGACAATTTTTTGTTTAGGTGATTAATCTTAATTTATAATTTTAAGACATAGAACAATGTGAAAATTTTAAATAACAGACGAAATGACAGCGTCACGTGCAAAGCAAGTAAAATGAACGTTTATATTATAAAAAGAATGCATAGAAACGTTTTCGTTTTTTCTTTGTCCGTGTTGTCTTATCTTTATCTATTTTCAGATACATTGTGTAAAAATATATGGTAGCTGTAAAATTATTTTAAGTCGAAGAATTATCAAAACTTCTGAAATTTTTGGCAACCCACAGTTTAAGAAACTCTGTTTTAAAGGATTCTGTTTTCCATATGGCTTTCGTTTATTTCTTTCCTACATCATTAAGCAGTTTGGTTTTCTTTGGTAGCAAAAACCAGCATCAAACTCCTAACACGCTTCGAGCGTATTATCGCTTGGTCTGAAGTAACAGCAAAATCTTGTAACAACATTTCTATTAAATCAGATCTTGAACATAAAATGCACGTCTTGTGCTTACAAATCAAGCACCACTTATGGCGATGTGCCGTAAAGTAACAGTCAAGTTTAAACTAAGCCTAGTAGTCAAAGACTACACAATTGGTTTAACACGAAGTTGGCTCAAAACTTCTCATCGGCGTAACGATTTAAATATCGGCAGTAGTAAAGCAAAGCCGAAGAAATGCAATCTTACCAGAGCTAGCGAACTCTAGTTACATGGCCTAGAGAGGCACAAACACGCTTTTTTTCACAGTCCAAAACCCTCACTTATGCACTTTCAAATTGATTTACGTTCTGGAGAGAAAAAGGAAAGGAGAAGTGATCGTACAGGTGAAATTTTAAATAACTCTTTACATAAAATAATAATTACCCTGAAACTCTTAAAAGTATTTTCAAGGAGTATTCGTTAAAATGCTTTTGTTTTGGTTTATGTGATTATGGCAAAGCTTCGACGGCTATCTGCTTAAGGGGTGAAATGCTTTCTCGGAGGATTTTCTAAGGAAAAGTGGCTCGTATACACGTTACGCATGGGGAAAACCACAAAAAGTCTATGCAGACAGCACATTTGTGGTTTCGAACCTCGGACCGAACTACCAGTGTTCAGCGGTTCAGCCGCTGGTGAGTTCTATTCGTCAAAATAGAAATTATAGATTCTTTTCACAAAACGTTACACAGTAAGGGTAGATGAAATTTGTCCTTACTCTGTAAACATTAGCATATAAAATCAGTTCCTATTACACTATTATTATGTTCAGCTAATGCTGATAATTGTCTAAATAACAATTTTTAATGCTGCAATTTGTCAGATAGATATCTGCTTTCAGATATGCAACCAAGTTAAAAGTTGTGTGTTACCTTTATTTATTTAATATGATGTTCTTCGCACTTAAAACATAAAATTCAATTTAACAGCACTATCGCAAAATAATTTTAAAATGAGCCTATCTTTAGAATTTCCGATACGCAGTCTTGCGCGTTGGAGATTTCTTTCTTTTTTTTTTTTTTTTTTTCCCGTACAGTGTTGCCATTGCAAGCTTTGAAATCCTTGAGTTCGTTAATCAGAAAATCTTTAATGTCTGACATAATATGTGTGTGTGTGTATTTAATTATGGCAAAGCACACTAGGGCTATCTGGCAAAGAGGAGGGATGCCTTCGTGGAGGACTTTCTAAGGGAAACTGGCTCATATACACGTTACACATAGGGAAAACCACGAAAACATCCATTCAGCCTGCCCGTTCGCGGGATTCGAACCTCGGACCGAACTAGCAGTGTTCAGCGACTATACCGCTCGCCCGCTGGTGGGCCCTGACAAAATATGAAATCGATAATAAAATAAATTCCAAATTAGGGCTTCCAGGTGCCCATATTCGGTAGATGATTGCGTTATTTAAAATTTGATGGCTCGTTGTTTTTTATCACAATGCGAGAAACATACATACATTTATGCAGATTCATTAGTTAATTTCTTTAAATGTAATACAGGGCTTTAATAGTTGGTGGCAACAGTCTGAAAAGTGAATCAACGCAGAAAGTGAATCGATGCAAAATGCCAAAACTAAATTAATAGCCCTCTGGGCTTACTCCCTTTGGGCTAAATGTTCCAAATTATTAAGAATAGAAGGTTTGCAAATAAAGTAATGAGACTGATTCAGAACACCCTACACTGTGGCTAAGAATGCTTGCTCTTCTTAGGGCACCAAGGCCATTCTCTCATGTAATTTCAAATTCTGCTTTGTAGTAACATCGGCCTCCAGGCTAGTGCCTTTCTCTTGGAAAGGCACCAGCCAGGAGGCATGAAGACCCATGCTCCGGAAGGCCTATCCGAAAAAGAACTAATGAAAATGCGGGAAGAATCAGGGATCAGATTGTTGATCAACATTTTACCTTCATGCTCTTGAAAGACTGCGATAAAGGGTCTTTCCTATTAAGGCTATGAGCATAAAATACTTATATACTTTATCATGGCAATGCCTCCTGACACTGTGCTTTCCATAATGGCATTTCGGGCATCTCGGTCGTTAACTCACATATTCATCCACCTTACGCCTGTAACTTTCTCTTATGCTCTAGACCATAGGGGCACAATTCAAATCTATCAAGGACCATTTTAAGATATGTTGAAGTTGGTGATGGCCACACTTCGCAAATAATACACTGAAATTTGTAGGAATGTATGTGTAAGTGTAGCTAGATACTTTAGTTTAAATACTTCGAAAAGATTTGCAAGCTTTCCCATTTAACACAAGACACTATTATTGATTAAATAAACAGTGAACAGAGTATTTTAATATTAAAGTTGGAAATATATGCATAAATAAACCACTGAAAAAATACATATATTTTCTTACTTAAAACTACAAAAAATAGAATATATTATTCAATGTGACATATTCATCCGCGTTTTGGATACCAAATCTTCGTAGTTTGGAGTAAATTTGGAAGTTGCTGTTCTTAAAATGTCATTTAAACGTTCATTGGTAACGGCTGACCTATTTTCATTACTATTTAAACTCATAATAGAAAATGCTTGTTCGCAAATATAGGTACTACCAAAATTTGTTATTTAACAAAAAATTCAATTATATCTGAAAAGTTTCTTTTGTTATTTAACAGAAAACTCAATTATATCTGAAAAGTTTCTTTGCCAAGGTACCTACAGAAATCAAGCAGGTCTCCCTCACGGTGTTTAAGTAAATTTGAACACTATAAATCGATAAGTTTCAATTGAAAAGCTGTAGGCACGTCACTGGGATCAACAGAAAAAGGGTTCTCAATAAGTCTGAAGGACATTTATCTTCGTCAGAAAGACTAAATCTGGACTCGTGCTCTTCCTCTAGGAATGCCGTTAGTAAATGTTTTTGCGTATTCATATTTGTTAGCAATTATTTTCTCTTGGCAGGTAGAAAAATGAGCGAAGGAACTACTTAATCCTTTCAAGCATTCCTTGAATGCTTGAAAGGATCGATGCTTAACCACTGGAGGAGAAAACGCCCAAGATAGCCTTTCATTCAAACGACCAAAACCGCCCAAAACGGCCGAGATTGCGATGTTGTTTTCTCCCCGTATGAAGTAGCAGGTGCAGTTTCCCCAAATGTACTCTATCAGTTTATTGCAGACAGCCTGCTCGAAAAGGCTAATGGAAGCTTCTTTGCTAGGAAGAAGAAAGGATGTCATTTGAAATCTTCAACCTCTTTGTGCGTTAATGAACAGGGAAGGGTGGAAACGGGCATAAACGTCTAATGTACGGGGACGGGTGTTTCCGTATTTTAAGCATACAGGTTAGTGAAGGTTTTCTAAGGGCTAAACTCGCTTACCTTGAGATAGTTGACTATTTACGTCACTGTGGAAACAATATGTTGATAAAGCAAAATTTTTAACACAAGGATTATTTGGTGTATAATCCAAGGATAATTTCTAATCTTGTTTTTACAGTGTTTCTGAATTAAAACAGTTGCTCCAATATGCTTTCCAACCACACAGGGAACGCCATCTATACATATCCCAATGAGGTTTTCCCACGGCACGTTAATCTTATCAAATTGAATCAATAACTTCGTTGGCTATGTCTTCCTCATTGCTCAACCTGCCATTGAACAAATAATTGCAAGCTTCTCAAAAGCAGTTGTTCGATCCTCAAAAATTTTAAAACTGTCTGTGATGCCACGGATAAAAACTAAACGTTGGTCAGTATTTTATGTCTGTGTTCTCATCAAAGAATATTGAAAAATATTAAAAATCGACCACACTACTTTTCAGATATTCAAAAATGTGTGATGAAATATCAGAAATTCTTCGCTGTGTGGTCATTCCTGACACAGAAATGTATTCAAAATCTTTTTATCGGGCAAACACTCCCCGCAAAAATTAACAGATACTTTTTCACAAATTCGCCATCAGTAAATGACCGACCAGTAGCAGCAATTTCTCTTGCTATTTTATAGCTAACTAAATTTGAAGTATCAGCTTTCCGACTAAAATTCTAAAATAATTTTTTTTCCCCTTCTAAGTTCTTTTCCAGCTCTTCAATTTAATTTCAGTTTCAATGTAATTATAATATGAAGACATAAATGTGAATACATA